AGTCCAGTATCTTTGCCAAGGAAAACCCTAAATAGGGTCATGAAGAGTTGGACGTGACTGAAATGACTGAACAAAAACAAAATTTAGACTTTGATGACAAGAAAAACTTCCTAACAATGAACCCTGCCCTAAAGTCTAGAGAAATGGTCTGTAAGCAAGGGCATACTTTTAAAGTATGTTCTAGTATGGATTATTGTGGGATATGAGTAAGACTTGATGGCTACTGAGATCCCTTCTAGCTCTAAATTCTGAAATGTCTATTGATTGATTGAACTTTAGCACCCTATCTATGCAGGTCTCTGCGGATAATCTAGGGAGAGGTGGTATCAGTTGAAGTGGTCTTCCCCTTCGTCCAAGTTCCTAAATGAAAGAGTTTTATGGAATTCCTAGATCAGGGTGTCATTGAACCAAGGCAAAATGAAGGTCAGGGAATTTAGTTATCTCCAAATGAAAGGATGGACAAATCTGGGATACTTGTGAATACCTAGTAGGTGACATCACTAATAGACTTAAAGAGGAATAGTTATGTAGACAATAATTCAGCACAGACAAAATCTAAGCAAAGTAAGCAAAAGCCAGATGCCAGCTCATCAGGTATGTTTCAAAGAATATTGTTCTTCAGGTATAAGTTCAGTTCAGTTCAATTCAATAGGCATCTAGGCCCTAAGGAAACAAAGCCAAAAATTCAGTAGTCTCTTCCTCAGGGAGACAGTGAGAAATGGCATACCAGGGAATGCAAAGGCAGAGGAGATGATGCAGTTTTGGGAGGTTCAGGGACCCCTCAAGGACCTAAGTACAGGACAAGGTCATCTGGAATGAATTCAGGGACTCAAGCAGTCTTCCAGTCAGGTGGCAAAAAGTTTATTATAATGCTAATATGTCGGGCAGAACTCCTTAAGGAATTCTGCCATGGTGGGCAGAGCTCCTTAGAGAACTTACCATGGTGGACAGAGCTTCTTAGGGAATTTGCAACCTAACAGGAATGATGCTGAAGCTTATATAGGACAAGTAATGGATTATGTGCCAAGTATGCTAATTAGGTAATAACACACAACGTTGGTCACAGATGTCATTCACTACTGGAAATTGGGGAGAGGTTTTCTTAAGGGATAGAAGGCTGTATTTTTGGTCTGTTATGTCTGTAACAAAATAGCTTTGGGAGTTGATGGGATGTCTATAACTTGACCTCTGGATCGTATATGATAACTATGGGACCCAGTACGTGATAGTTTTATTTATACAAGAACAATTCTACAGAGGTCAACTTGTTCTTGTAACAGGGAGGGATAGTGAGATAGTTTGCCTCACTGGGCCCACTCACAAGTTATTGCCAGAGACAGGGTTTTGGAGCTGGGGAGAAAACTGTTGGGGATGGTGTTTTGAGACTAGGGAAAAATACGGTCTTGGAATTGGGGTCTGAGTACAAGCACCTATTCACCCCATCAGAGAGAGATAGAATATCATATATGAGGAATGCCACATATACCAGTTTGCTAGAACATAAGAGTGTGCCGGTGGGAACAATGTGTATTGTGTTGGGTTTTTTTTTCTTTTCTTTTCTTTTCCTTTTTTTTTTTTTTAGGCAATTGGGGTTAAGTGACTTGCCCAGGATCACACAGCTAGTAAGTATCAGGTGTTTGGTCTGAGGCCGAATTTGAACTCAGGTCCTCCTGACTCAGGGCCAGTGCTCTATCCACTGTGCCACCCAGCTGCCCCGATGTGTATTAAGTTTTGAAAGAAAGTCTGGACCCAGATTGGAAAGGGCTTTAAACCGCAAACGATGGAGTTTTTATTTTATTGTACAGTCAAATAAGAGATGTTGAAGCTTCTAGATAAGTGAAATTGACCTGTGCTTAAAGAAAACCAATTTGGAAACTGGATATAGGATAAATTGAGAGGGACAGCCTGGAGGCAGGAAAAGAGGATTCTTTAAAAGAAAAAGTTTATTTTTAAAAATTCTGTACTTAAACACCAGTGAGCTTGAGCATTTTTGAGTTAAAAAAAAACAACTGGAAAAAAGGGAAGGGATTACACATGAAATCACTAATCTATATTACCAGCAGCTTGTTCCTGTGCCACACATCCATCTTCTTTCCTCCTCCTCCTCTCAAGTTTACACCCTTATCTTGCTTTCAGCTTTCCCGATTGACAGTAATGCTCCCTGAACTTGGGAAAAAGTCACTTCCTCAAGGCCAATGGAACCCCCAGAGAGATCTTTTCTCAGAGTATCTGTTAATAATCTAGATAAGCCCAAGGATGCTTTCTAGGAAAGTCCTCCAAAATGTCTTAGGACACACTAAAGGCACAGTATATACAAGGTCTCTGTGATCTTGTCAACTCAGGCCTACACTTGTACTTAGATTTATTTTTCATATATTTTGTTCATGTATACATTTTGTGTTCCCCAACAGAATATAAGATCTTTTAGGGTAGTAGAATGTTTCATTTTTGTCTTTGTATCGCTTATCTCAGTACCTGACTCACAGTAAGCACTGAATAAATGCTTGCTAAGACAATCCCAGAAGGACTCATGATGAAAAATATCTGCCTCTGATGGGGTGCTTTGGTGCTTGTGCTTGTACTTGTACCCCAATTTCTCCCTAACCTCAGAAACACTATCCCTGACAGTTTCTCCCCAGCCCACGGACACTGTGCCTAGCAGTTGTTCATGCATGGGCCTCAGTACAACCCTTCTCTCTCTCCTTGGTACAGCTACGCAGAGCTGGGCTGCTCAGGCCCCAGCCCTCAGATCATGTCTCTGGAAGCCTCCCAAGTCCTTAGTAAGCTTCTGTGTTGTGAGAAAGCTTTCCCTTGTTGCAGAGCATTCTCTCATCAAGACAGAGGGAGAGGGGTGCCTTGCTCAGCCCAAGGAGTTTTGTCCTTGGCCAGCCCAAGGACTCTTCCTCCTGCCAGACTCCAAAGATCCACACTTCTATCATCTCCCTCCCTGTCCGGTATACTCCCTGTACTTTCCCATCCATAGCCCCCAAAGACACCTGCACCTTTGGATTACCTCATCAGTGTCCCTGGCATTTCTTTTCCAAGCTCTTTTCCATATAAACCCTAGCTGCATTCTCAGTCTCTCGCAGGATCCTTTAAGCATCCTTTCCCGCTGAAAAGCGTAACAATAAACTTTGCTACCTTGGCTTAAAGAATGCTTGAGTCTATGAATTCATTCCAGATGACCCATCCTGTACTCCGGTCTTTGAGGGGTCACAACCTCTCAACCTCTCACACCGCAACACCTCCAGAGAAAGAACTGATGGAGTCCGAATGTACTGACAGAAGCATACTATTTTTTCACTTTCCTTCTTTTTTAATTTTTTTGGGGGTTTCAAGTTTTCTTCCACAAAATGACTAAGACAGAAATATGTTTTACATGATTGTATGTGTATAACTTACAGCCAATTACTTACTGTCTGAGGGAGGTAGGAGGGGAGACAGGAATGAATAGAATTTGGAACTCAAAACTTTAAAAAACACTGAATGTTAAAACTGTTTTTACATGTAATTGGGGGAAACTATTAAAATAAATAAATGTTTGCTGATTGATTGCAGAATTGACCCTTTCAGGAGTGATACAGAAAACAAGTGAAGAAAAAACAGGATGATAAAGAATTTATTAAGTGCATATTATTTATGTTAAACACTTCCTCTCCAGGAGAAAGTTTCTGCATGAATTCAGCTGAAGTAGTGGCCTTTGGCACTTCCAGGTGCTGTCATCTACAAATCAAAGAAAGCCTCTCCTGGCTCCAGGGTGTGCAGGGGCAGTAGCATCTTCTGCTAAGCCAAGAGATGGCAGCCGTGGCAAAGGAAATCACGTGGTCAAGTGGAGGCAGTTCCTGGACCTCAGCCTTCTGGAAAGAGTGGGGTTTTACAGACAATGTCTAATTCCCAGAGAGTTCAGGATCCAGTCTTACAGAGAAAGAAGGGAGGTGTTCCCAGGCATCAGGGTTCCTTTTCTAGCAACCCCAAGGTGTAGATTAAACGAGAATTTACTTGGTTTTTGTTTGTTTTTGCAGTTCACCTTTTCTTTCTCTTTTTTAAAATTGAACCTTCCTTTCACTGGCCACGTTAGTAATGGGGGGGGGAAGCCGGCTGTGTGGGGGAGGGGGTCTCCACAATATTCCGTTTATACACAAAACTAAACAAGCACAAAGCCACTACTGTGGTTAGAAGTTGGCAGCATCGGGGAAGGGACGAAACTGGGGGTGTCAGTTAAAAAAATACTGGCCTCCCCCGCATCTGGGCGTGCCTTGGTCTGCCACAACTCAAGAGGTATGAGAATACCAAAGGCGGCTAGGGAAGGCCAGTGAAGTGGGAAGGTCAGGGGTCGGGGTGTTTTGGCAAATTCCCGGCTAGGATCCCCCCCCAGCCCCTGGGTCTGGCAGGCAGGAGGGCGGCCTGCTTCCCTCTGGCCTTGGGCAGCCCCAGCAGGGGTCCAGACTCACCCCTCCCTAGGAGATCACGGCATTGCCCCCCCCCCAGTTTCTCGGCCAGGGTCCCGCAGTCCTTCACTTCCTCATGACAGCTGGCTTGTAATGCGTCTGTGATTCCGTCAGTTTCCTCTTGACCGCGTCCTTCGAGCTCTAGAGCGGGGCGCACTCGGGGGCCCAGAAGACGAACACCAAGTCCTCCTCCTCGCCCTCCTCGGCCTCGTAGGTGGCATCATAGCGCGTAGCGGCCGTCCTTGTCTGGCAGCATTTTGCCAAAGGGGGGCAGGGGTCGTCCCCAGTCGGCCCCACGTCCCCCACGAGCATCTCCTCGTCCTCCTCCAGTACGATGTTCTTCTAATTCTCGCTCAGGCAGAACAACGCGGCCTTCTGGCACTTCTTCACCTCCTCGGGTGTCCAAGATTTGCGAACCTTCACGTCCTTGAACGCCCTGATCAACCCATCCCAGACAGCCCCCCCAGGGGCCGCGGTTCCGGAGCGAGCGAGGGAGGCAGGGAGGGAAGGAACGGGGGCCACAGGAGAGGAGGGAGGCGCTGCTTCAACCGTTTTTGTTTTTGTTTTTGACTTCACACCTACGGTGTGGTAGGCGCTGTGTGTAACAAATAGGCGCCGGGAGAGGAGTCTCCAGGAAGGTAGCACTAGAGAGATAAGCCTCGAGAACAAAGGAGACAAAGGTGATGAGGGAGAGCATTCCAGGCTTGGATGATAGCCGGAGACGGAATCTCCCGTACTAGCAAGACTAAGAAGGCCAGTTTGTCTAGAACGAAGCGCGAAGAGAACCTATAATGAGTCTCGAAAGAGGCTGGAACCAGACTGTGCGGAGCCTTAAATACCAGAGAGGCCGCAGGGAGCCTCTTTTTGAGGAGTGACAAGACGGATTGGACCGAGCGCTAGGAGAAGGGCGGCGAACGAGGACGCTCCAGCAGCCGCGGGAGGGCTGCAGAGGGAGGGAAGCCGTCCGGGCCCGCCCCGCCCCGCCCCGGCAGCCACGGCGGCAGGCGGCGGGCGCCATGGCCGGGCCCGAGCTCCGCGCGGCTCTGGAGGCGCAGCTCCGCTACCTGGCCATCCCGACTGTAAGCGTGGATCACCCCGAGGTAAGGACCCCCCCAGGTGAGGCCCCCCCGCGGCGCCGCGGGTTGGCGCGAGCCCTTTTGTGCGGACAGCGCTGCGGTGCCCGGGGCGGGGAGGTGACCCTTTCCCGGGGGAGGTAGTTCTACTGCTCTTATCTTCCCCAGGATTAACAAATTTGGGGGTTTTTAATTTTTTTGGGAATTGTGGAGGAAATAAGCGGAAGCGCGCGTTCAGTATTATTTTTTATTGATTGTTGTTAAGTCGCTTTTCAATCGGATCCCAATCTTCGTGACCCCATTTCTGATTTTCTTGGCAAAGCTACTTAAGCGGTTTGCCATTTCCTTCTGCAAGCTCATTGCAGGTGAGGAAACTGAGGCAAACAGGGTTAAGTGACTTGCCCAGGGTCACACAGCTAGTGTCCGCTGGTGTCTTATTTGAACTCGTCTTCCTTACTCCGGGCTCCGCCCTCTATCCACTGCGCCACCTAGCTGCCCTTCTTATGAACTGGATGGGATCAAAAAAAGGGAAAGGCCTTTGTCAGTGCTAAGGCCTTCGTTAAGCAGAGCACATTATTTGTGGAAGTAGGCTCAAAAGTGTTTTGAGAAGGATGTTTAATAATCTAATAATAAACTGGATTCTTGTGTGGAAGGAGACATATAAGCACGTGGATTTCAACAAACATCTATTAAGAGCCTCCTGTACGGAATGGCACTGTACTAGGTGCTGAGGAAAAGCCGAGAATTAGAGCCCCTGTAGGCTGTTTGCCAGCTGTAAAAGTTACATTGTTGGTTCCAGCTCCAATAGTAATCTTATGGTACAGTCATCATTTGGATTTGGTAAAAAATAAATGCATTTCTACTGTCATTTCAGTCAACTCATGACCCTGTGGGGCAGCTAAGTGGCACAGTGCCTACGTAGAGTGCTGGCCTGGAGTCAAGAAGACCTTAGTACAAAACCAGTCTCAGACATTTACTAGCCGGGTGACCCTAGGCAAGTCACTTAACCCTGTTTGCCTCAGTTTATTTGTAAAATGAGCTGGAGAAGGAAATGTGGAAGCCCTCCAGTATCCCTGCCAAAAAAAAAAAAGACAAAAACTCAAATGGGAATCACAAACAACTTGCCATGAAATATTAAATTTTGTTCTCTTTAGCGTAGTCTTACAGCAGATGCTTATTAACCTTATTTTAATATTTTGATGACTACATTTCAATATAACGTTTCCTCCACGGTTTTTTTATGCGTAAAAACATTATTCTGAGGAGCCCATAGGTCTCACCAGACTCTGAAAGACTGTCAGTAACACCATCAAGATTAAGAACTGTTTTAGAGAGTTGCCTGGGACACCAAGAGGTTAAGTGACTTGTCTGGTGGCTCACAGCCAGGATATGTCTGAGACAGAATTTGAACTCAGGTCTTCATTATTTGGAGGCCAGCTCAGTCGAGCACTGTACCTTCAAAAAAATCTTTTTTCATTGAAAACATATATCTTATTGTTATTTGGCACTCCCTCCATTCTTTTACTTCCTGTCACATATCTAGTCTCATCTAACCTCCCTAAGTGCTGAGCATAAAGTAGCAGTTTAAATACTTGATTCATCTGCCTGTCCCCCTTTTTACCTTCTTTTCTCCTCTCTCTACCCTCCTGTCCTTCGGCTCCTCTATGTTCATATAGGTGAGTAGGGGTGAATCCCATTTCTACTAGAATCCTTGGTGGCCATGGGCTGTTGAAGTTTACAAGAGATTGAGGATGCTAAACTGAGGGTGGCATATTGCTGAGTCTACAGGAGAAGAGGGAGCCCTGGCTCATTTGGGATGACATGAGAGCTAGGGAGCAAAATTAACACAGGATGGGTTAGGCACACAAGAGTTCTCGGTTAGGATGTTGTGGTAGTGGTGGTGATGGGGAAGAAAGGAAGAAAGAGAGTGCAGTGGTAAGAAGAACCGAATATGCCACTATTTGGACTAGGGAAGCATGAAATTCATAGTGTGGAGGATTCCTCTGTTGATTGTGTTTGCACAGTAAGTAGACTGTTCTTATTTTTTACCCATCATAATCTTCTGATCATGTGCTTAAAAGACATCTTATTTTATAGGTATTTACAGTTGAAGAAATGATGCCTCATATCCAACACTTGAAAGGGGCACACAGTAAGAACCTGTTTCTTAAAGACAAAAGGAAGAAGAGTTATTGGCTGGTAACAGTCCTTCATGATAGGAAGATTAACCTGAATGATCTGGCCAAGCAGCTTGGTGTTGGAAGTGGAAATCTGAGGTTTGCTGATGAAATGGCTATGTTAGACAAACTGAAAGTTGGCCAGGGCTGTGCCACGCCTCTGGCTCTCTTCTGTGACCAGGGAGATGTGAAATTCGTCCTGGACTCTGCTTTTCTGGAAGGCGGATATGAAAAGGTGTACTTCCATCCAATGACAAACACAGCCACGATGGGCTTGAGCCCCGACGACTTTCTCACCTTTGTGAAGAAGACTGGGCATGATCCTATAATATTAAAATTGGATTAAACTAATGGACCAACATTTTGAATAAAATGTAACTTTGGAAACTGTCAAGAATGCTTAAACTTTCTTTGTTTAAAATTTATCCAAAGTGTGGAAAAAATGAGTACTATCCTTAGGCCCAACTGGGAGAATCTTTTGTTTTTATACATGTTCATTCTAGCAAAAGAACTTGAGAAGGAAACCCTCTGTTTTAATCTGTTGGCCTTACAAAATCCCAGAGTTGGAAGGTCATTTGCTTTTATTCATCAACATTTATTAAGCACCTCCTGTATACAAAGGCATGTGCTAAACAGTGAGCATAAAGTATTCCCCCAAGGAACTTTAGTTCTGTTTGGGGGGCACATTCATGTAGGCACAACATAATAACTAGGTAACATGTGACAGGGGTAAGACCTGAAGTGCTCTAGGGAAAATTTGAGGAGGGAATGCTTTTAGTTGGAAGGGATCAGAGAGAGTACAAAAACATGTGGCACCTAAGCTGAATGCTGGTCAATGAAGATGCTGAAAGGGGGCATCTTTGAGCACGGGTGAGTTCAGGATATAACTAATAATCAACTTTGCCTGGAACAGAGTGTGTGAAGGGAAGGAATGGTAAATAAGACAAGAAAGGCACACTAACCAGCTGGGCCAAGGCCTGAGTAGTCAGGAAGACAATAAAAATTATTTAATTTTAGGAGATGGAAGAGAGAGCAGGTTGTTCAACCCCTACCTGTATAAGACCACCCCCATGTGGCAAAGTGACAAGGGAGTTATGAGAGTCCTCACCTTAAAAAGTCTCTTCAAAACTTACCGAGGTGGAGCTTAGGGGGTTAACAACAGACACACTTCTTTAAGCCTCAATTCCCTCAAAATAAGGGGTTAATCATATCTTTAGTACCCATTTCACAGACTTCTTGCAAAACTCAAGTGAAAATGAAAAAAATTTCAGTGTTCATTGTCAGGCTATCATGTCTAACAAGTGATCATCCAGCTTCTGTTGGGTGGTACAGTGGATGATAAAGTGCCAGACTTGGAGTCAGGAAGAACTGAGTTCAAATCCAGCTTCCCAGTTGTGTGATCCTAGGCAAGTCACTTAGAATACCTCCATTTCCTCAACTGTAAAATGAGGATAACAACAATCCCTACCTCTAAGATACTTGTTTTCAGGATCAAATGAGGTAATATTTGTAAAGTGCTTAGCACAGTTCCTTACACATGGGAGGTGCTATATAAATGTTTGTTCCCTTCCCTGCTTGAAAATTTACAAAAAATTAGATCCCAATTACCCTCAAAGGCAATCCATTTCACTTTTAGGCAGCTCTGTCAGAAGTTTTCTGTCAAGCCCAAATTTGCCTCTACAGTTTTTATGGCTTGGTTTTGAATTTGGCAGGGGGGTCAGGGGGTAGACAGAAGAGAAACAGAAGAAATTAAACCCTTTCTATAGCCCTTAAAATACTTAAAGACATCTAAGAATTACAAAATTTACATTTGCCCTAAATCTTTTCTAAGCCAAACAATCACAGGTTCCTGCAACCAGTTTCTCATATAGCATCCCATCCTTCTTTCCTAAAATCCAGTATAGACCTCCTTTAAATATAACTTTTCATTCTTAAAAAGATTGCTCCCAGTTTTCCTTTACGTTAATATCACTTCTAAAATAAACCACACTTGGATTCTTTCATCTTTTAAAAAACCCACTATATACAATCCAGCAAAAATCCCTCTGTAAAAAAAACCCACAGTAAAGAATAGCGAAGTAAAAATTCATATTGTGTTTATGTTATTTTAGTGTTAGTTTACTAATTTACTTGATTACCTTATCAGACTAATACTAAAACTAATGCCAGAAAAACATTCAAGGGGCAGCTAGGTGGCACAGTGGATAGAGCACCGGCCCTGAAGTCAGGAGGACCTGACTTCAAATCCGGCCTCAGATCAAACACTTGACGTGTACTAGCTGTGTGACCTTGGGCAAGTCACTTAACCCCGACCGCCTCACTAAAAAACCAAAAAAACCCAGAAAGACATTCAATTTTGGAGATGAGGGTAAAGGGAAACTTAATAGGGAATGAACAAAAAAGTATTTATTATTGTGTGCCTCTGCATTGTGCTAAGCTCTGGGAATACAAATATTTAAAAATAGTCCCATCCATCCTCATATTAGACAGCACATATATAATAGTGGTGACCAGGAAAGGGAGTTTTTTTCTGTGAAGGAGTGGGGGAAGAGATGGTATGATGTTTGATGGCTTTTTTTTTCTGTTAAGGACTAGGGCAGACAGAGTATGATGGACTAGTCAGATAAATGGCTTGGATGGGACATAAAGGTGAAGCAGGGTCTTGTATCTTGGACCAGGATTAGAGAGCGCATGCTAAATGGCAAGTCCCCAAACCAGTCCCTAAGTTTGGGACCTAGAGCTGGAACTCCAAGATGAATGAACTTCCTTTGAACCAGGGTTCCTGGAGTCTCAAGAACCTGGGGTACAGTTCCAGGTCAGTGAGAAAAACATTACCGTTTATTTTCCTATAAAAATGAGTTTCTTAGCCTTCTGGCCCAGAGTGCTGCCTGAATAAAGGCAAACTGCCCTGGCTCCACATACTGTATCAAAAATATTAAATTAGTGCCAGACCAAAAAACTGAGAAAGAGAAAACTACAGTAAACAGTTTCTTCCACCCCAGAATTATGTACTAAACCATGGCAGAATCCCATGGGCAATAGGCAAGGGGGCTGCCAACAAAGCCAGTGCTTGATGCAGGCAAATAACCAGCAGCTTTCCAGCCCAGAAATATATGTAGCTTGGAGGGCCCTGTGTCCAGAGGCAGGTCAGGGTAGTCAGAAAGGTGGGGACCTTGGAAGCCCTAGGGAGCAGCAGTGGTCAGTGGCATGGCAGCACTTTGAGGTCCCTAGCACTTTGTCCTGATCCTGAGATGCCACTGAAGGCCCTGAAGATCTAGCACGCTGAACCTCAAAGATCAAAGCAGGGCTTGATCCCAGGAACCAAGGAGGGCCAACTACTCCACCCAGTAGTACAGCAGAAGATGGAGATCAGCCCTGGCAAAAAACTTAAGTTCAGGAACTAAAGCTGGAGAAGATGAGTGAATCAAAGAAAATACCTACTAAAAAATTAATGACTCCATAAGATAACAAGAAATATTAGAATATCAAAAGGTAGAAAAATTAAAAGAAAATTTAAGACATCTGATATAAAAAGCAACTGATCTAGAAAATAGGTTAAGGAAAAATAATTTAAAAATTACTGGACTTTCTGAAAACCATGATTTTTTAGAACTAGAGTTCTTAAAAAAAAAAAAAAAGTAAAGATAGAACCCACTGATCACCTGAGAAGCTCCAAAAATAAAAGTGAGCAAAGTCATAGCCAAAAAACCCACAGTTCCTACATCAAAAAATAAAAACAAAACAAAACAAACAAACAAAAACTACAAGTATCCAGAAAGGAGGAGTTCAAGTACCAAGTGATCAGTCAGGTTCCCATAGTATACGGCAGCTACTACCATAAATGAGAGGAGAACTTGGAATCTAATATTCCAAAAAGGCAAAAGATAGGTGCTTACAACCAAGAATAAAACCCTGCAAAGATGAGCATCACCCTACAGATTCCTTAATGGAATAGAAAACTTACAAATATTTCTGATAAAAAGGCCAGAATCATGAAGGGACTTTCAAATAGAAACATGAGTCCAGAGAAACATAAAATTTATTTGAACAATAGAAGAGACTAATTGATGCTGTAGTGCCAACATTCTAATAGGGGAAGAAGAAACAAATGTTCTGTCAAAACCTTAATGTAATCAAAGGGTATTGAGTGAATTAAATAAAAAACAGCAGACCTGAGGATAAACTGGTTTTCTTCTAAAGATCAACGAACATTTATTAATGTTTCAGGCACTGTGTAAAGCCCTGGGGATACCAAAAAAAAAAAAAAAAGGCAAAAGATAGTCCTTGCCTTTGAGGAGCTCATAGTCTAAAGGAAGAAGACAACTAATACATACAAACAAGCTATATATATATATATATATATATATATATATATATATGATAAATAGAAAATAATAAGCAGTGGGAAGGCACGAGAATTAAGAGGGGTTTGGAAAGGCTTCCTGTAGAAAATAGAATTTTAGTTAAGATTTGAAGTCTAGGAAGCTTCAACCAGGATGTCGAGATGAAGAGGAAAAACATTCTAAGAACGGGGAACAGCCAGAAAAAAAACAACACGCTGAGAGTCAAGAGATGAAGTGTCTTACTTGTAGAACAGCCAGGAAGACAGTGTCACTGATCAAAAAAGTACTTGGTGGGTAGAAGGTGAAGGACTGGAAAAAAGTGAAAGTGAGGGAGATAAGTTATGAAAGACTTTGAATGATAAACGGAAGATTTAATATTTGATCCTGGAGGTGATAGGAAGCCACTGGAATTACTGAGTAAGAGGGTGATGTGGTGGAACATGCATCTTAAGAAAATCACTTTGATGTCGAGTCTTTGCTAGTGGCTCCATGGGTCACCAGCAGCTCTACCGGAGCCACCCTCGAAAATTTGGCCAGGGGTCTCAGTCGTGCCACATCTGTTTGAACCGGCATGGCCTGATCCACAAGTATGGCCTGAACATGTGCCGCCAGTGCTTCCGGCAGTACGTGAAGGACATTGGCTTCATCAAGTTGGACTAAGTTATATTTATGGATCTCGCTTCAGTGATTATACTGACCATCAGTGACTACCATTCCACTGGACCCCGGACAACCTAAAGATGTTGTACATGCTTTGCCAATTTGCATATATAATTTTAAAAGGTCATCCTTGGTGGGGGGGGGAAGAAAGTCACTTTGATGATTTTAAAAGAGGAAAATAAAAGAGTGGCTAATAAGAGTAATATACACTAGTGTAGTGTTTAGGAAGAAAAGGGTAGAACTTGCTATTTCCCATAAATAAGGTATGTGACAAGAGAGTATAGAGCAATTACTATGTACCAGGCATTGTATTAAAAGCTTTACAATTATCTCATCTGGTCCTCACAACATCATTGGGAGGTAGGTGCTATTATTATTCCTGTTTTATAGA